CTTTTTTTATGTTATTACTATGGGAGAATGAGTTTATAAGTGGGACAGCCCGTATAGAAGAATCGAGAGACCGAAAAATATTTCCCGCCGTCGCACTGAAGGCATCCGGGAGGGAGGATCGACCCCTGTTCGTACCTTTTAACGAGGGACAGGATTTGTTTTAACGTTTTCCTTTATCAGGAATTGCTTTCATCTCGGGAGCATATTTTTGTGGAATATTTACAAAGATGCGTTATTTTATAAGGAAAATGTCTCTGCTACTTCCACGAAGTGCCCTGTTCAAACGAATGTACCACCGACTCTCTTGAAGGAATGAACTTTGTGAAAACTTCTTCCTTTTAAAATAGCTGCTTCGATCATAAGGAACATAATACGACCTCCTATAGAGACCTAAAAAACTGAAATGATGTTTCTATATTATCGAATAACATCGAAACTTTAAATTGTTTACTAACTAATGTAAGACTTGCAAACTCTAATGGGCAAAAGTATGAGAATAAGAATTGTAGGAAACTTTATAAATTTTAAAGTGAAGGATATTGTTAGATTCTAGATAGCCAAGTTTTTATCTATTATTCTTACATAATATAGTAAAATATTATGTATTGCTTATTAATTAATTTATCCTAATGGTAGCTATAATAGACAGCATCTCAAACTTACACAATTGTTACATAAGTGTTAGAATACCTACGTACAGTTTATAGAGTAAATTAATGACATTAAATGCAAGCACAATTTAGGGATTCTAATATGCGTTATTTTATGAAAAAGAAAAGACAATCATAACAACAATAATAATAATAATAATAAAACTAGAGAGTTTATATTTTTTCTATGTAAACTAACACATTGTTTAACTTATTTAACCATTCTCTTGCATTTAATACGGTTCACAAAAAAAAGGTTGACTGCACACGACGAAGTTTACCCCGCGCAAATCTCAACTCTACCGCCATATTATTTCAGCGCTAAAACAAGTCGAACCTGGAATGGAGGTCCCTGCGGAAATACACAACGAACTTCCTGGTTGTCGGCAAAGAGGATTCCGGTCTGTCTGGCTAATGTGTAAATTGCAGGGCAAAATACAGACCGTCCAATAATAACAGTGCTGTATTATCCCATGATAACAATTTATTCTCTTTTATGGTCGTGTTTTGTTCGGTTTTCTGCAAAAAAATGCTTCGAGTTGATTCATTGCGTCTTTTGTTTCCCGCGCGAAAAAATGGATCGTGTTATTTGTTTTTCTCGTAATAAATGCCGTGAATTATCTTTTATTCAAAGGAAAATGTAACGAAGTAACAATATATCTTCCCTAATTCTAGTCCGGAGGATGGCTTAAAATTCGGAGACGGAGACTTCTGTGAGAAGAAGACTGTATACTGTAACTGTAACTTAAATTGAATTAAAAATAATTCGGACCCAAGCTTTAGAACATAATTCACGTAAAAATTTTACGTTACCAGAAAATGACACATTTAAAAAAATCGTTACTAACACTTAAACAGTTCCAGTTTCTAGAGTGTATCCATAACGAACAGTAACACACATAACGATAACACATTATTTAATTTTAACTTAATTATATTTTTTATTTAAAGTATCAACTTCAAACTTCACTCTCTCCGTTTCAGCCACGGGGTTCTTCAGGTCCATAAAACTCAATAACTTAACCCCCAGCTTTTTTGTCAAATATATTTCCTCGAAGTTTCATATTAATGTAATTCTAAGCGCTGCAACCTTGAATAAAAACAACTTTCCAACGAGCACCTCTCTAGCCTGCAATCGATCGTATTAAATTTATGTTAACACGAAATCAATATATTCCGGGTAACCCAAGTCGATGCATAAATAAATATCAATTGTATTAAAATTTAAAAAGCTCGCGACGTTCCTTTTGAAAACTTCTATTCCCAGGTGAATGTCTAATGCAATATATTTGTCATTTTAGGAGGAGACTTATTTTTCTAAATACATAATTTAAGAGGGAAGTCGCGTGGGACTGTCAAATGTCAATTAGAGTGCTGAATTTTATATTTCAGCTTTAGCGGGACCGCGCTTGGAAGGGATTAAATTAAGAAAAAGGAAGATTGGCCTTTTGTATAAGCCCGTAAGGCAAATTTAAAATTTTTTATTTGCGTTATAACAAATATAACATCATAAGTTGATAACGTGTAATTTCCTGAGTTAGTTACAGAAAGAAACAGACAAAGGAGGAGAGCCATTAAGCGCGGTTTTTGGCCCAATTGGAAAATTTTAAAAAATTCATGATTTTTATAGCTTGGGTTCAGACAAACAAAATTCAATCCACTGCCAATAAACGATCCACATCCAACTACTATGACAGGTAGAAATAGCAGAAAAACGTCTTCTTACAAATCGTTAAGGCCAGATAAGCAATATACTTTGAGCCAAACAGATTCAACGCCCATCTTCCCATACCCATCCCCATTCCCATAATTCTAATCGCGTTCAACTATTATGAAAAGCAGCAGAGAAAACTCAAGCTGAAACTCAGATAAACACAAACTAAGACTCGGACAGGCAAGCTCATCTCTATATCTCTAAACGAAGTTCAGGCTGCCAAAACCATTCTGTGCACGCAGTTATCAATAATCCTTAATTAATCGAACTTTTGTACATCAAGATGGAGATTTTAATAATTTTTTTCTCGGAAATGGTTGAGTTTAGGACCCATGCTATATAAGTTTTTTTTGTTTATTTTAATGTATTCTATCGTCTGCTAAAATTAAGGCAGTCGAACTCTAACGCCCTGTAGTATACACGTATCTTGAACAGAGAAAGGTCCGATGGGTTCGTAACTGTCAAAAACAGAAAGAAATAATGTGGCCGAAAATCTTTTTTTCAAAGAGATTGAAGAAAAAACTTTTTTGTTGCTTTTTTCACACAGCTGTTACTTATTAATTTAACTGAAAAAATTGCTGCAATGATATGACATTATTTTTGAAAATTTAGTTATTTCAATTGAACAGATTTTACAGCTCAAACTAATCAACCGTTATTGTTTTCTTAATTCGAAAATTGTAACTCTCAAACCTTAAACAACATATTATTCATTAGGTACTCTAATAGATATTTTATATAGTTCTTTTTGCTATAACGGAGAACAAAATTATAGATTACCGACGGTTTCTAAATGATATAACTTTAAATTATAGTACCTACTTTGAAGTTACGATTTGAAAATCAATTTTTTATTCTCTCAAGAAAATGTCGGTAATATGGTAAACTTTTTAGTAAAATATTATAATTCTTTAGTTCATTAATAAATGTTATTTTGACTGCATGATAATTACAAGGTTTTTTACATGTTTTTCGACGTTCACAGTATCAAAATTATACGAGTAGGGCACAGAGTTATCTCTTTAAAAATAATTATACTGATAAATATCTTAAACCAGTGTATATCAAACTTTATGTCCCATATCCGTTGAGGTCTTTTTGTTAACTAAAGTTGACATTGACTTTATTTGACAATTTAACAAAAATCTTGTGGTTTTAAATCTACCAACCCTGCACCATTCTGCTAGCGGATTCCTAGAGATTCATGTTAGATACATACTTTAATATTTATTGACTGTCGTCACAAAGTATTTCGCTAATATGTACCAGTCATCTGTTTTGAATCGAATTTCAATCAATATCAATATTTTCTTAAGGGATGTCGTCTGTAAATCCAGAAACAGAAATCATCGATAGGACCCAAAAAAGCTCTCAAACCACTCAAAACTGGCATGAAGACTTCGAGCATTTCATCACAGCTATCCAGACGGCGCCCTTCAAGAATCGAAATATTTACCAATGTTTCGAATCCATTTGATTCCTATTTGTATTTCAAAGGAAAAAGATCTCTTCCGAATTATATGGAAAATGTATATTTTTCAGTTACTATTTTCCAATCCAAAATAAGCCTAGATTTTAGGATTTTAGGTACATCATCATTAAAAGTCTAAAAAAGTAACTGACGCAGAAATTTAAATTTGTTTTAAACAATCACTTAGAAAATTTTAAATTTCTACATCTATGATTTTTTTGGACTTTTGATGATGACGTAATTCAAATTGTATAACTAAAATTTTCCATAGATTCTATCAGTGAATGGAATAGTTTTAGGGGTAGGTATTTGAGAAAATTTTACATCTTTAGCACCTCGAATTTGAAAATTATTCAGTCTATTTAGTATAGGAGTATTCTTCTTCTTCTTCCTCTTCTTCTCCTAGTAGTTGGTCCTAATAAGTCCCATAGCACCGCGGCCTAATTAGGTCTATTGTGCGTCCCACTACTAGTCCTATTCAGCAAGTAGATTTATCCTTTTTACAAAGTCCAAAAGTTTCCTTGCTGACACTTCTCTCAGTTCCTTGGGTTCCAAATAAGGTCCCCCAGGAGCGCCATTCTGCTACGTGCAAATCCCGGGCACTCGCCCAGGATATGCAGAGAAGTTTCATCCGCCGATTCACATCCTCGGCAGACCGGAATGTAAAGCTTTAGCTTATGTAGATGTTTCCTAAAGTGACAGTGTCCCGTTATGAGTCCTGTCACTGTCCTGAGCCGGATTCTGTTCATGCTCAGTAGCTCATTCGCTCTTCCCTTCGAAGGATACTCCATAAGCTCCTTAGAATGGCTATGTCCTGGCCTTGAAGTCCAGTATTTCCTGTGTTCTGTCTCAGTCCATTTGCCCACAGCCCGCCTGACCACACTGGGAGATGTGCCACAGGAGGGCTCCGGGCCAATGAACTCTGTCTCAGATCCCTTCCTAGCAAGTTCACCCGCTTTCTCATTTCCACAAATGCCTTTGTGCCCTGGCACCCAACACAGTCTGACTGTATTGTTGGTGGCCAGTTCAGTCAGCATTTGTAAATAGGAGTATTAAGTGCATGGAAATAAAATTTTATGTGTCACTGCTTTAAATGTTTTATCTCCCACATATAACATGCAACACATGATCTTTTATATTATTGCGTATTTTATATTGTAACAAAATGTTATTGTTTACACAGTTGCTTCTAGTGACTTTATTTATCAGTAGTTCTCTAGAAATAAGAGGATTCAGACGAAGACAGTACGAAAATGACTGCACTCTTGCTCCAAATGTTCTTGCTCCGGATTTACCAGAAAACTGTCATGATTTTAATGACGAGAAAGTCGAAGGTCCACTGGAGGTACTGACCGCGGAAAAGTTAAATCAACATCCGGCTGCAATTGTAAATCTCAGCATCAGTGGAGGCCTGTCAGGCATAGAACAAGACTGTTTCTCTTCACATAAAACAAGTTTAAAAAGCATTGCAATAGTAGGCAACAATATTCCAACTTTTCCCGGTTACACTTTTTCATACCTTTCCTTAAATAAATTGGATTTGAGGAATAACGACATTGTATACCTGGGACTCCACCCGTTCGATGACTCGAAAATTGAAGATCTGAACTTGAATTACAACAAAATCAGTACTTTACTTAAGTCTGCCTTCTCAGCGGAAATTTCCTGCATTCGTATAGCCAAGAACAGAGTAAGTTTCATTGAACCGCAGTGTTTTCCAGGTAGTTTGGAGATGCTAGACTTGAGACACAATTTGTTGTACGACATCGAGAGTGACCACTTTAGTAATTTGGAGAATTTAAAGAAGTTGTATCTAGCTAATAACCACTTACAAAACGTCGACTTCACAGGAAATAAAATGAAGAAACTAGAGCTGCTGGACTTATCTTTTAATGATTTAACAAGCATTAACCAAACGTCTTTCAGTGAGTTAACAAAATTGGAAATCCTAAATTTAACTAGCAATAACATTAAATGGATATCGTCGGGAACGTTACAGGTTTTCGACAAACTAAAAGTTTTAGATATAAGCCTCAATCGTTTCTCAAACTTTCCCTACAATGAATTACATAACTCAGTGGAAGCGATTAACAGTTTTGGAAATCCGTGGAACTGTGAGTGTTTCTTCCGTATGGAGAGACATTTAGCTAAAAATCAGATATCGAGTTTCAAGTGCGAGTTAAACTCCAAAGATTTACCTTTCTGTGTAGTTTATGAAGACAAATGTGTAGACGTACCAAATGAATCGTTAATTACGGTATTCAAAGGACATATGTCGCCAGACTTAATACAATACTGTAGTTTAAGTGGACCTATTAAGCATCTTGCAGACGATTTATTGTTGCCGGAGCCTCTTGATTCAGCGGTTTGAAGTAACTTTTCTATAAATGATGACTAGTACTGGTTACAGAAACAAAGGGGTAAATGTATTATACTTAGTTACAAGCATTCGGAAAATAAACATTCCAAAATGTTGTTGGTAATTTTATTTGCCTACAGATATCAGATGAAAAAAAAAGTTCGGTAGAATTTTAGGGGTGAGTCATCCCCAATGAACACCTTGTAGTGCTTCAATTAACTTCATACTCAAAGAAGACCAGTAATAAACCTAAGTTATGTACCAAATTTGGTTCTTCTGCGGTAAAATGTTGCAGAGACATTAATTTTTTTCGAACTTTGTATATAGGTAATTTTGGTTAAAGTACAATATTTTGGACACCCCTACAAGCACCTGCGTCGGTACTTATGCGGAACACCCTGTATGTATAAATAATAATAAACTTTGAACTGTAAATTCCATTCCATTATTGATATAATTTTCATCGCCATAATTAGTTATCAGCGATTATAGTTGAGTAATTTTAACGATATATGATAACGAAATTAAATAAAAAATAATGTTTTAAAATACACTATTAAGCTTTCACGCAGTACCAGCAGTTAGCAATCTTGTCTGTAACGTTTGATGTCTTTTGCATAACTAGATTTCTGGTATAGAAGAATTTTGTGTGACTTTCTTTGGTAGGAAGGATTTATTTGAATTAGCTTAGTACCTTAATAAAGAGTAAAAACATGTGAGTGCTAATAAAAGAATATACAGGGTGTAAGATAAAGTAATCATAAATGAACAAAAAAGTATATTACAGGGGCGTAAGATTACCAGTTTTCAAAATACAGCGAGTATTAATATTGGGGAGTTTCATCACAACGTGACAACAGTGCTTAACCTAACGCAACACAGCTGATGCATACCACGTGCACGGTCCGTAAAAAAGACGGTCGAGTAATAGACAGAAATTATGGGCGTGGCTGATCTCATACTACGTCACAAGATATCTAACCTTTAGAATTCATGTTTGTTTGCATACTAGTAATTTTGCATTTTTCCAAGTATTTAAGTAAATCTTTCATAGTTGTTCGGGTATTTTGTAGTTAGTTATTGATAATAGTTTTTAATAAGTTGATGGTGTAGTGTTTGATAAAAACTATTAATTTTCTACGTAAAAATGCCAGGAGTGAGGTGTAGTGTTGCAATTTGCAATAATAATTTTTATAGTGCTAAACAAGACAATTTATAAAAACTTTATTTAATGTGTTTCCTAAGGATAAAAGACTTAGAAAGATATAGGTTTAACGGTGCAAAAGACGCGATTTGTTTAATCATATAACTGGACATATTTGTAGTACACATTTTGAAGACTCAAACTTTGAATGCAATCTTCAAGCAGAGCTATTAAGTATATCATCAAGAAAAAGACTTAAAGAAAATAGGTTAAATGTTAAATTTCTAGTTTAACTGATTGTATTCACTTCAAAAGGACTAAATTTATTGTTATTGTTGTATAACAAATGATGTGACTGTTAGAAAAGCGATTGGAAATTTTAAGTATCTTTCGAAATGTGATTTTAATATTTTTGTAAACTTGACAATTTTTCTTAAAATTAAATGTTATGTCAAAAGTTCTATGCGGTTAACTTTTCCTCTTCTTTTCTTTTATTCCTCCATAGTCCATTTAACTCCGAACACAGAAACAAACTCTTTAAAAGCTAAAAACTACTGTATAGGTAGTTTACTTGTAAAAACATAGGAATTTTTTAATTCGGAACATCGACTGTAAAACTGTAGTTGGTAAGTACAAAAATAAATTAAGTTGCAGCCTATTGTAAAGTACTTTGGTAAGTTGTTTGAAATTTAACTAAAGACAAAAGCAGATACAATGACATCATATAAACTGACACAGTTTTCATCAAGATAGGTCTAAATTGTTTATATATTCACTTTCCCTCTTCATTTTAGTAGAGTTTATGGATATTAATAGATATCTGTAATAAAATTAACACAAATTTTAGGTTAATTATGTAACCAAACGTCAAAAATGGTGACCGATCGTGATGTGTATTTAAGACAATTTCACATTTCATCCTTTTATTTCCAAATTCCAATGTAAAGGTTCAATTTGTATATAAAGGTAACATTTTAGACTCAAAATACCTGTTAATTAACCATAATCATAACTGATTAAATGTATTATTTTATGTTAAAAGGAGCGTGGTACAAGAAAAGTGACAATTTTAAATTTGCCTCTTATTTTCTTATGGGAAATGCAATAAGTTAGAAAGAGATGACGGTTGAACGAAGATAAACTGAGGTATTTGGTGACGTATTTGTTTTTTATTGGCTGATTAACTTACGCGGCGACCGTCTCTTTACGGACCGTGTACCACGTGTGCAGGCGGCAGACTTGTTCTACGGAAAAAATGTAAAAACAAACTTACAAAAAAGCAAAATTCAGTAATTTTTAAACGCACGGACTACAACATATGCTCAAAATGTCCACCACCATTTTCGATTCACGCACTCGCTGGAAAACGCCTCAAGAAAAGGGAATAGTGGTGCGCAAAAAATACTCAGACACGGTCCAATTCCAGATACCAACTGAATATTCCTTAATTAATCGAACTTTTGTACATCAAATTGAAGATTTTGATAATTGTTTTCTCGGAAATGATTGAGTTTAGGACCCATGTCATATAAGAGTTTTTTTGTTTATTTTAATGTATTCTATCGTCTGTTCAAATGAAGGTAGTCAAACTTCTAACACACTTTATGTATTTACGAAAGAAACATATTCATTATTTTAAAAGATATTATTCAGAATGTGACGTTAAAAAAATCAAGTTCCATTTCATTTCGCTCCTACTAACTTTTCTTTAATTTTTGCAAATATTCTGCCCCTATAAAAGACCCTAAACCTAAATTTTGTCACCATCAGTTAATTGGCATTGTCAAAAGGGTCGTTTGTTATTGATATTACCAGTGGCCAGACCACATCTCAGCGGATATTGGATTATAAATCAACATGTTAGCAGAATTCAAATGCCTCTCTAGAGTATTATTTCGAATTGGCTAGTTGTGTGAACGGAATCATTTCCGATATGTCCATAACTTAAATGTATTGCTTTTAACGGCGATATCGGCAGTTTCACCTAAAAGTTCTTTGTTGTGTGCGTATACATTTTCCGAATTGAAGAAAAATGGTATAAACAATTTTAGTTAAAAGCATTATGGTAACTATTTCTTTTATTCTATCTATTTAAAATTTACATACGTTATGTAGGTAAATATTACAAGAAATGTCTCGAAAGTGAAATATTTTACGAGTGCTTTCTATGACTAAAGATAGTAGAAAAATATTTCCTAAAAAAGAAGATGAGCCCTTGAAAACAGTTTTTAGTCAAACTGGGAAAGAATAATTTCTAAATAAATGAAAATGTTACCGGACATGCGGCAAGATGAACTGGTTCCTGCTTTAGCGGTTTTATTCCCCGATAATATGGATCTCGATATTTTACCAACGGATATGATTTCAACAAGATGGGGCACCGCCCCTTTTTGCTCAAAATGTACGGACCTACCTCAACAAACTGTTTCCGAATAGGTGGATTGGAAGAAGGGGGGCCAATTGAATGGCCAGCAAAATCACATATTTATTAAAAATATTTCCAAAAAAAAAATTAATTATTTGGCTATTTCTACCCATAATTTATATTTCTCCCATCCTCTTTCTTATCTTGCTCCCACCCTAGCCCATTGGCTGGCGACGCCCTTGGGAAGTGTTACAAATTGTTCGGAATTTATTATCGATTAGAGTATTGTCATTGTAACAAACGTCTTTGTAATATACCCCTTTGAAAAGAAAAATTGACATGATTTAGGAATTCTTTATTTACAGAATTTGTTCAAGTTAAACTTTCCACTCAGTACAGCTTTTTGTACGTGAAGTGTAGATAGTTGTTGAATTTGAAATGACAGTATTGTATAGAATAAATTACGTTATTAATGACGTTAGAGTGTATCTGAAATAAAAACATCAGAGAATGGTAGTATTCCTTCCCTTAATCTATCTTTCACGTACACCTATGCAGCATTTAATGGTAGTAAATTGAATGATAATAGTAACCTGCGATTACCAGTAACGTAGCCGCTACATAAACAGAACTTGTTCCTGGCTAAATAATCGTAGACGACAAGGGCTGACGTTCGATCACACTTCTTGATGGCTCCGCCAAATTCCCGTTTTGGATTTGCCACTTTTCTTTTGGGTGCCTGTGTAATTCAATAATGGGAAATGGACCAATCATTTAGCCGCATTCCAAACACGGGTGCCCGAAATAACGATAGTGACGCGGTCCCACACAGGTAGGTAATCAAACACAAGCCACCAGCACCAGACTATAAATCAACCTTGGCCCTGCACCGATCCATATCGGCATGTATGCAAAGCGGGCTCTAACGGGCTATCACCCATTGAATAGCAAGTGCCCTCCATCCGTCAATGCCGGGCTGGCTCTAAATCCCATGTTTACGGAACTGATCAGCTGATATAGATTTATATGGCGTTATTATGAGTTATATATGTGTTATACCAGAATATATTTTAAATTATTGCTTCGGATCTGAGTTGATTTATCGCAGGAAACTGTGACTGTAAGTAAGATGAATGGAAAAGTATAACAAACGCCGTTTTGTTTAATTTTGCTGCAGAGGCCCGCCTGGAAATGGGTGTGTCATGTAGTGCTTCATATGAAACACTGCAGCATCTGCGACAAAGCCGATAACTGATTTCTACTTTTTCAGGGAAATTTGAATGCTGCAGATGCGTTTTACCGCTCTGGGGATATTTCAAAAACGTTCAGGTCGATAGTGTAATAATTTGAAACGCTTTTATACAGGGTGATTCAGTCAAAATGTCATTAATTTTAACCACGTATTCGGAAGGCTTAATAAAGACAGAAAATCGGAAAAAAAAATTTTTACTCGACTTATAAATGAAGAAAATCAACCCATAACTCCCGTTAAGAGGGCGGACCTGCCAGATGCCCGGATGCTCGGAAAACTTTGTAACGTAATGTCACGAACAAATCGTCAGCTGAAGCAAACAGCGTTGCCAAGTTCACATCATAATCTGTGGTTC